TATTCTTCAAATCAAAGCTTAAATCAAACAACACTATGCTTCAGTGAACAATATCTGTCACCTTCACAAAAAAGGGGCTGCCATACACATAATAACAGCCATGTTGTCGACTTATGCCGATACCAACCCTGATTCACTGTACTACTGCACAAAACCCAAGTTATAATCCAAGAATATCACAACATCCTTTCAGCACTAGTTGCAGCAGCATGCATGATGTGAGCTAGCCCTCCAGACCAGCTCCCACCCAACCTGCCTCACACCCAGCACCTGTGGCAGTCAAGCAGCTCCTTATGCTCCCAGAAAGGCATGTACAGAACCTCCGCAGCCTCCTTATCCATCTCCTGCAGGCCGAGGGAGGGAAGGGTGACAGGCCTTCATTCTCGCCTTCCTATTTCATTAGGTTCATTAGGAACGGATACCATAAGGTGGCAACTAATGCACGAATTCCCTACCAACTCATAGGGGGTCTAACAGCGTCTAACTTCTTAGGCGGGGCTGTCAGACGGGCTCATTATCAGCTGCTGACGATAGTTGTCAACGTGGCATAACAGCCAGTTAGACACTGGGTTAGAGGCTGTCTTGTCCTGTTTGGCCCTGTGACTGACATATACCTGGAGCCCACACTGTTAACAGTTGTCTGCTTCTAGGGACTGTTAGCAGCTGTAAGGACCTGTAACTGAGCACTGTCTGCCACAACAGGATATTGTTGACAGGATGTTACACTCTGGGTGGGTCACCCAGATGCCGAGAAAGAATTTTTGACGGCTGTTAGGGTTTTGGGAAGCTAATCGTTAGCAATTGTTCAATTCACTTAAGCGGTTAAGCGGTGCCAAGGGCTGTAGTTGCTAACAGGCCTTGAAAGCTGTTACGAGCAGGGACCTGTTAAAAGGAAGTTCCATCATGTTACTGGCTGTTGCCATTAGATAATTTGCTGAACTTTTGTTGAAGGATTTTTATTGCCGTATTGAGTTTCAGACGCTGTAAATTTTATGAGCTTTTACATGATTCCCTGTCCACTATTAAAATCACACATTCTCTTTTTTTTTGGAAAGCTGTCTGACTTCATTATTCATGCCATCAACATCTATTTGCCATCATTGGGGATAGAAGCTTGTAGTGCATGGGTAGGCACAAAACCACATTCGTCAGGAATTATATACATATGTATGTATTTCACACAACAGTCTGGGTCGCCCTGGTCACCTCACTTGCTCATCATGTGGAATTGTGCAGTATAGTGCACAGCCAGCTGGCCTGTACAGGCATCTATTGTCTCTATTCTTTACAAGTCTGGAGGCTGCTACCAAAATCATCACAGCAACAGCAGTACCTTTTCTTGGCATGCAATTATACACACATGTTCTTCAACAACCTTCACCTGTGACCTGTTTCACACTACTACTGCACTGCTTCCATTTTTCCTAGTGAACACCTACTACACACCACTGAACCACATAGCTCTAGACTGCAGCTGCCCACTTGCTCTGTATCCCTGCTCATCAAGGAACCTCTCTAAGCAACCAACGCCAGCTTGCCCTTGTACTGGACCATGGAGTCATTCCATAGAACATTTGTGCAGCCATGGGAGAAAGCCCACTCCTTGACCTGCTGCTTGCTGAATCTGCCAAGTAGGCTCTGCAGTGGAAGCTCTACGACCGTGTGCTTCTTGAGCTCCTTGCCAATCTTAATGGTACCACTGGGCAATACCATGGAGGTCTTCTTGCTGTTGTTCACCCTGTGCAGAATGAAAATGGACACCTTGTCCGTGTTTTCCTGCATCGTGAATATGGAGGGACCGACCAGTGCTTATTCAATGTTGTGGACATGTATGAAAAGAAACATAATTATTATGTTATTAGCAGTAGCATAAAATGCATAATCCAGCAGGCAAAGACATTAATTTCAAGCAGTTCATGGTTGCACTGCATTGCAGCTGCAATGTATGCCACACATGCTTACATTAATTGTATGTTGTGAGGCAGCTGCAGATGACAACATGGTCATTCTTGCGAAGAAATATCAAGCCTAATTAACTTACAAGACTGCCAAAGACCACACCGCCAGCTAAGAGCACAGGACTGTCCTTGCCCTCAACAATGAAGACGAACTTGTCATCTTCATTGTTTAGAGGCCCTAAGCTCTTCTGCAAGTTTTCCAGGTGCGACTGTGAAGACTGGTACTTCTCAAACTCCTCTTCATCAGCTCCAAAGGAGTTGAATCTCAAAGCATCTGTTGGCAAGGCATGGACATATGTCATGGTTAGTAAGGTCTTCAGCTGCAGGTATGATGTATGCAGGCATGTATCTTTCATGGTATACATATTTGAGGTTTCAATACAAGCAAGTTGAAAACCCAATAACCCCAAACTATAACTAAGTCTCTCCTCTTATCTCTGCATTTACACATAAGGGCTAGAATGAATTTGCAGCATACACAGTAGCAGGACATTGAATCCCCAAAAAAACAATTGTAATACTGTTTCCAAAGAACTCTTAGTACTCACCCTCCACATTGGCCTGCTGCTGTAGATTTCCAATCCACTTCTTGCAGTTGTTCCATCTCTCAATCAGGGACTTCCCGACAGGTGCATGTATGTCCTGGTCGGTTGCTTCTGAGTCCAAGTGGAAGCCAG